CTTCTTCTTCTTCTCCCCTCCCCTCCCTCCCCTCCTCCTCCTCCTCCTCCTCCTCCTCCTCCTCCTCCTCCTCCTCCTCCCCCTCCTGATTTCCCCCCAATCTATTCAACGACACACGTGCGCATTTATAAACACCGACCTGCCGCGTCCGAATGCATAAACACTGTTACAGCTTTACTTTATATTTTGAACTACAACATTCCGGTGTGGAGTCGCGGTTTTCCGTCTCCTATTGTGCGCTGGTGATTTATGATAGCATTTCCGACGTGTTTGCGATAACAGAGCCAGTTTCTGTATCGTCCTGACGTCCGCGGTGGCGCGCGCACACTTTATCGAATATCGTATTTCATTATGATGGAATTTCTGCCTACGATTTCCAAAATACTTTACGAACTTGGCCATATTCCCTGTGACGCGTCATGGTATTAGACAGACGCACAATATTCTAAAACAATACGCAGCAAGTACAATTAAATAGATAAAAATAACTCAAAGGCTACACTTCCTTGATGACGATGGTAATAATTGTAATAATAAAAATAATTATCATTATCATCATTATTAATTATTAAAACAATAACAATGACAATAACAACACAACATTAATAGCAATAATTTTGGTAAAATAAACACGAAGAGAGTAGAAAACAGAACCATATGAACCACGCAAATATAAACGAACAGTTTGAATGGCCATCATCAAGAGGGTTCCTTATTACGGGGTTGCAGATTGCAAGCATGAAGGAAGTAGGAGTGGCTCCTGTTTTTTTGCGGAAGGGAGGGAGGGAAGAAGAGGGAGAAGGAAGAAGGGAGGGAAGAAGAGGGAGAAGGAAGAAGGGAGGGAAGAAGAGGGAGAAGGAAGAAGGGAGGGAAGAAGAGGGAGAAGGAAGAAGGGAGGGAAGAAGAGGGAGAAGGAAGAAGGGAGGGAAGAAGAGGGAGAAGGAAGAAGGGAGGGAAGAAGAGGGAGAAGGAAGAAGGGAGGGAAGAAGAGGGAGAAGGAAGAAGGGAGGGAAGAAGAGGGAGAAGGAAGAAGGGAGGGAAGAAGAGGGAGAAGGAAGAAGGGAGGGAAGAAGAGGGAGAAGGAAGAAGGGAGGGAAGAAGAGGGAGAAGGAAGAAGGGAGGGAAGAAGAGGGAGAAGGAAGAAGGGAGGGAAGAAGAGGGAGAAGGAAGAAGGGAGGGAAGAAGAGGGAGAAGGAAGAAGGGAGGGAAGAAGAGGGAGAAGGAAGAAGGGAGGGAAGAAGAGGGAGAAGGAAGAAGGGAGGG